AAATATTATATATATAAAAATAACCTCTTTTATGTCTATATATGTGTGTAACACACATTCTTCTCTCTCTTTAAGCTTCTAGTTGCTCTACTATAGGCTTTTTTGTGCACCATTTTCAAATACATTAGGGACCTACAGTTTTCAGGTCTCAACACAAGCACAGGTCTCGACACTTTCTGCTAGCATATGTGAGCACAATGATTCAAGTACTATTACTTCATGCCTGTTATAAGGATCCAACATCATGAAGCCAAAAGATCCTCACCCTCTCTCAGAGGTACTTGCCTCTGGACTGCTAGCAGTCCATTTCTTATCCCTCTGAGCTCTAAGCAACTTCGCCTTGGTCTTATTTCACAGCAGTAGAAGGCCAGAATATGGGAAGAGGTTCATAGTGATAAGTATGAATAGCCTTTGTAATTTCACAATCTTTAAAGCCTCTTGGAAATAATCAACAAAGCTAACATGAAAATTATGTGGAAAAATATTTTAGGATTGCTTGCTTGTGAGCTATGTAGTCCTAGAACATTCTCGGACTAAACTGAGAACTGCAAAGGACTTCCAGAACTTAAACTCAGAGACAACAAAATGCCAAGGAATGTAGTGAGAGACCTAAATATACAGCATCATTTTCCAATACATGTCCCCTCTTCTCTGTTTTCCCTCATGTTCCATGCATTTGGCTTCCCTTTCCCATAAGGAAATGCTTAAGAAAAAGTGATGAAGTATTTAATGCATTATGATTCATGCCGGTTTCCTCTTATCATTGGCATCCTCTTTGTTCAAAGGTGTTGTGTTTCCCATAAATTCCTTACTGCATCCACCCAAATCTACTCAGCCAGGCTTTTCTACCAATGTCAGACATGAGAAAGCATTAGGATTTACTCCTATTTTCCTATTAGTAGCAAAGGTGATAAAACAATAAGGGTCTCCCCAGGTTACAAATTCTGATTTCCCTTTTATTTCCCCAATCAGAAATCTTTTCATTAAACTACCACCACAACTGTTCACACTAAATTATTCCGTATTTTTTTAAATTTGTTCAGTGATATATGCATTACACAAAAAAAAGAGGAAAAAGAGGCTTATTAATTCAAAACTTGTGATACTGTTACCATTTATTAAGCTACAATTATTCTGCAGAACATCCCTAAGTGGTAACAGAAAGCCTTGCAAAACAGTGCTAAAGGCAGACATTGTAAATAAAGGCAAAATAGGAGGAAACCCCATTCAGCTCAAGTTTTAGTTTAGTGCACTAGAACACTTTCTGGTACAGAAACATTGTAACATTATACAATTAAGAAATTCATAAAAATATATTTAATTATAACGATTTATTTGTGTTTGTTTTTCTTTGGTTATCCTATTTAAATGGCTAATCTGAAATAAAGATTCTATAAAAACAAGTCCCTTGAACTATTATATAGGAAAGTAAGCATCACAGGAATTAAATACCTCATTGAACTGTTGTGGGGATTCTTTAGGTCCTGATGAAGCTTTATCACCCATTCCTGATATTCCTGCTTCTGGATAGCAGTAGACTGTTTTAATTCATTGGTCCATTTGTTCTCCAAATCCTAACAGGATGACGGTGACAATTTCAATGTTCTGTGTTTTCTTTTTAAGACAACTATTTGCATGATGTATTCTAGTTTACTGATCTTAGTTTACCTGCTGAGATTCAAAATGCTGAGCTGCTAATGAATTTACATCTTGGTCTGTTAGCGATTTCCCCAGCTCCTGCATTACCTTATCCATTTCTGCTCCTTGTCTGAAAGAGAAGCAAAGGTAGATTCGCAGCACACAAGGCTTTCATTAAACTGGCAGAAGAACATCCATTGCTGTTGATACAGTTACTGATAATATGATCAGTTGTATCAGTCAGCTGGTCAATGCTTATCACAAGCAGAGAAACCACTCAACACATCGCTGAAAGATATGTCATGCTGTCCTTTATCCATCTGCTCATTTTGGAATGGGAATTCATACATCTAAAGTCTGCCCTCACAGATATTCAAAAGAAGGTACAAGAGTATCTCCAGATACTCTGATATAGCACTTTACTATCCTTATCATTAGAAGTGTTTTTGAAATGGACCTGCGTTCTCCCCTGCTTCCCTCCCACCCCAACCACAGATGATGCACAGGTAAACACCAGGAAGTAGGCTAAGCACACCTATTTTTAATAGGCAGATGGGCTTTCAGCTCAAACTACATTCAACAAAGCAACTTGGACTTCCAGGGCTGCCCTGCTATCATCAGTTCATCCAATACCTTGTCCCTCCTTAGTCTTCTTAATCCCTGGCTTCACTTAGTCCTTTACATTCAGCCCTTTCTTCAGCAAGGAATCACTTCACCCTAACACAGATTTAGCAATGAATATCCACAAAACAAATCTGATTTGAGGGTCAGGGATTCCAAGTCAGCTGCTCCTGTGTAAACAGAATAACACCTACGCTGACCTAGGATCACCTCAGCTGCCACCTACGCATGGAGTTTCTTGATTATGACAAATAAATAACATAGACTCCCAAGGAATTTATATCACACTAGAGCTCTACAACACTACTGCTCTTAGAATTAAGTGATCTTTCTTCTAGATACACACTCGAGAAGAGCCAATAAGCAACAAAAAGTTTTCGTAACACTTTACTGGCAACATTTATCTCCAAATTAGATACGCAAGATTCAGTCTAGAAGAAACTATATAAACATGTATACATTATATAACATGAGCTTGAACAAATACAACTCAAGAGGAATATTGACTGTTCAACCACTGATACAGTAAACTTTTTTTCTCCCCTCATTTTAAATGGAATCTCTTGTAATTCAGTTTGTGCCCATTGCCACTTAGAATCCTAAAACGTACCTACTTAGAATATTCTGGCACCTCACAAGCATCCCCAGTATTACATTATTTCTATACTTGTGTGCATTCATTTTCCTGAATCTATTTAGTCTCAAAAAGAAAAAGAAAACTCTGCATTGTATGTGTTCCCTCTTGTGGGCAAAGCAGCCACGTGCAGCTATTCAAACTTACTCAGCAACTCGGGATCCTACACAGACTTCCCCAAATTTCAGATTCAACAGTTTCTGATTTAAAGTTGGTTGAAGACTTTGGCTCACCTTTTAATCCTGTGGAGCTTCCAACTTTACATTGAAATTACACCGTAACAAAGGAAAAACATGGTATATACATATACCTTTTTTTTCTGAAGATCCTAAGCACTTTACGTTGTGACATCACTTACAACGTGGATAAAACAATGGAAATCAAACCTTATATTACTCCGACGGCCTTAGGTCTTACTATTTTCAGTGACTGAGAATATAAGATAGCTTCCCCAACAATATAAGCTAAGTATTATATGACTTCAAAGAGGGAAACGCAAAACTAAAATAGGGCTTACATAGACAAATACAAATCAACACACACATTGTTCTACGAGTTGTATACACCCAGTGGCATGCACAATAAGAAAAAGAAAGAATACCTTTCCCGTAGCTTTTTCAATTCCACGTCTCTTTCACTTATTAATTCTGAGATACTAACAAAATAATTGTGTTCCAGGTTTAACAGCATTTCAGAAGCTGGAGAATGTATCAGATCATGATAGACATCTGCAAAATCTTCATCCCAGCTGGTTTCTTCAGGCTTTGCATATTCCAACGTTGTCTACAAATTATAAGAGATTTTAAAGCATATGGTACCTTTTAGGACATATAAGGATCCCTGATAAGGGCGAGGCAAAACCAACTGCTGCACACAACCTTCAACGTACAAGAATTATCTTTCCTAATTTGAGCTTTCTGTATTCTGCTTTAGCTTTAACATTTTCTCGATTCCCATACTCTTTCTCTTTCAGACCAACTAACAGCAGAAACATTAAAGTTTTGACTACAACGAGGAATTACAAATTCTCAGCCATCACCAACTCGGAAAGAACAATAATATCTACAACAGTATTTTTAATTGATGAATTTTAGACAGGGCCCAAAACACCAGCTGTGCAAATAGAAATGTTTTGCTACAGTGGATGACTAGCATCTGATGTCATTAGAATTTGATCAACAACACTGATTTAGCAAAAGCAATTTTTATTGAACAAAGAACGGCCCAAAGACGTCAGTTTGCAAGCTCCTTTATACTGAAACACTCACTGAAACATTTGCAATCATTCCCACTAGATTCAGCTGATGAACTGAGAAATGTAAGTTAGAAACATCAAGAAACTATCTAATCCTATCCCTGCACTCAGGCTAACCAGGAGATTCACAGAAACCACTATCACAGAAGACTATAAACTCTTTCAATGTTTTATCATATTCCCATGCTCACCCAATACAGATTTTTCCCTCTTAAAGGTTAAGCTAATTTAATTTTATTGACGGTCATTAAGGTAGATGATTTGCTTCCACATCTCTTTACCACAGATGCATGTTTTGGAATTTTTCACATTCTTCTGTATTATATGATAAGCAAATTCAATTCCTATAAACTTGCCCTCAAACATTGCCGTTTCTGTCATTCTTTTTTTCTCTTTGCTAGGACTCCTCCAGTTCTTCTACATTCCTCTAGTTCGAAGATCAAATGCAAAACTGGATGCATTACTCCAGCTAAAGCCTTATCATCGCCAAACGTAAAATGGTCACATGAACTCAGAAAATGAGATGAAAAGTCTCTCCCAGCTATACACTTTCTCTTTGGAGTCTTCATTGCTCCTTTTGAGATTTAGAATAGGAGTACCACCTTACTATCTCTTGCTTTGGTTTTAATGCACTATAACCCTTAGGCCTACTTTTGTTTGAATATCACTAGCTATCTACCTCTCAAATTTTTATCTTTTGACTCTGCCAAATTCAGGAAAAACCCAACTGAGAATCTGCAGGATGAAGACTTTCAGATAGACAGAAAAAATTGTAAGACATGATCAGTAAAAGTGAATGTCAATGCAATTTTGCATCTTCATGGACATGATCCTGTCTGTACGTGCACACACACTCTCACAAGCAAGTCCTGAATACTGACTTTTCAGCCTTAATCTTACCTCTTTATAAGCTTTAGCCCAAGTATCTGCCAGCTGGTTTATGTCTATTTTTCCTGATTTCACTGCTTCCAGAGCCATTTCAGCTTCGCTATCATAATCTTTTATAGTTTCCTCTTCTATGAACTTATTAAGAGATTGCTTCAGGTCTATAATAACAAGAAGAGAATGCTCCATGAACAAAACATGTCAGTGGAAGTATCAGTAATCATCTAGGAAACATACAAATAAAGTTTGTGTGAAAACCTTTTACTTGGGTACCTTACTTGCTTGTCCTCATAGTAATTTTCTTGAATGCTGTTTTAAAATTTTTCTTCACTGTTTTAAAAACAAATTTTTTAAGACTGTTCTAGTAAATACCCTTCATTTGGTTTCTTGTTGTAAGACACTTACAGACAGAGATATATGACACTAATTTAAGAAATCGACTCTTACCATTTTCTATAAAGCACGGCAGATTGTGCAGAAGCATTAGACGTCCATGCAAATGACTAACATTCTCTTGCACAGGGAATTTGAGAGGCACAGTAAGCACTAAATGTTGATTTCCAGCACTGAATTTGTACACATAGTCTCTCTCCCTAATGCAGGTCTTTCCTTTATTAGACTTCATGTTCTTGAGTTGATTTCCTGCATTAAAAATGAAAACAATGAGTTACATTCCTGTAAAATCACAAGTTAAAAATAATAACTAAAAGCATGACTTTGTTAATAATTAACAGCTTCTGTAAAGAAAATTTAAACCCCCAAATTTTTCATAGACATCTCAATTATGACTTCCAAATACGCTGGTTGGAACTGAAGCATAATTACCAGTTTCCAAAACACTGAATACTTCTAAACTGTAATTGAATGTATCAACATATAAATTTGTGTAACTAATCTTACAAATTACAGTATAAGCCTCCTGACTTAAAGGCAGAACCAGGACAGAAGGAACCCTCATAAATAGCAAACTTTAACTGAGACACTGTAACTGCTGACATGCATGTCTCAAAATCTGAAATCCTTCACCAGTGCATTAAGATTTCATTTCCTCCTTTGAGCTGGAAGCAGACTTGGGGGGGTGGGGGGAAGGTAGGTGTGTGTGTGGAGAAGTTTGCAATTATTTTTTGAAAAAGTTTATTTTGCAATTTTGTAACCTGCTTTAGGATAGATTTTTTTTTTTTTTAACGATACAATTAAAAATAAGCGAAAAGAAAAGCAAGAGAACTGTCTGCAGGATGAAAAGGCAGGAGAGGAGCACATACCTGTAACAGTAATTTTTCCCTCCACTCATTTATGTTTGTCTTTTCTGCACATCATCCGCAAAGCCGAACACATTGCGCCACCTGAAACCTCCCCAGTGCTAAAAACGACTGCCCAAGGAGACAAAAGCAGAAAACAAAAGAAAAAAAAAAGTACATTTTCCACAGCAAAATTCATGCGACCAGCTTATAGATTGGGCTGGGGTTTATTTTTCTGTTGGTGGTTTGTTTTCGTTTTGTTTGGGGGTTTTTGTGAACAACCCGGAAATTGATGACACAAATCAGTTACAAACCACTTCACGGTAACAATGAAATGCCTCTGACCCCAGGGCAGCCGGCCCTCCCCA